CGACTACTACGACTACGACTACTACGACTACTACGACTACGACGACTACGACGACTACGACGACTACGACGACTACGACGACTATGACGACTACGACAACTACAATGACTACTACGATTACGAGGACGACGACTACGACGACTACGACTACGGCTACTACTTGCTGCTATATCGACGACGACAACAACCACCGCCACCCTCAAAACGGCTGCTTCTTATTCTTGTCCACCACTCAGAGTAGACGGTAACAAGACTACCACATGTCGCCCACTTCGCCGGAAGAGAGCTAAGCTGCTGGCACCGAGGAAAGGACGACGGTGACCCTGGCACCCGGTCATCATTTGATGCAGCTGATACTGGTACTACTACTACTACTACTACTACTACGACTACCACTACCACTACCACTACCACTACCACTACCACCACCACCACCACCACGACGACTACTACTCCTACTACTACTACTACTATTACCATTACCTTTGCCATTCCTATTCCTAGTACCAGTACTAGTGACTGGTACTAGTGCTGACACTACTACCATCACTGTGAGTGGTACAACCACTATTACTGTTACCATTACTATTACTATTACTAATACGAATACTATAACCATTGCTATTGCTATTACTACTACTATGATAATGACTATGATTCCTAACATTACTATTAGTATTACTGTTGCTGTTGCTGTTACTAGTACTGTTACTATCGCTACTACTATGTCTAATACTGTTACTACTACCAGTCCTACGGTTACTACTATTACTACTGTTACTATTTCTACGATTACTATTCCTATTACTACTATTACTGGTACTAGTCCTTTGCTGTCACTATTGCTTTTACTGTTACTGTTACTAGTACTACTACCATTACTAGTACTAGTACTAGTACTATTACCACTACTCCTACTTATATTCCACGACTTATTGCGATTGATATTACAATGCTTACTCTTGTGTCACCGATTTTGTTACTATGATTACTGTTGTGATTGCTATCCTACCCCTCTCGGAATACTGGCTGCTGGCATAATCCCACCTCACCGGACTCGAAAACCTTCTGCTTCGCCGTGCCGACATTCTGGCCCTCGTAGGACAACCTTTCAGCTTTGAGAATGCGAGTCGAGGATTCTGGGGCTCCACTCATCGAACAATGGAGGAGTCGTTCGGGGGCAAGAGTGGAGCCAATACGGTATGTCTACCGTGATTTCTATTATCAAGGCAGATGCAGCAGCTTTGTATCCGAAACGGCAGTCTTGAACGCGTAGCTGCGCAAATGTACGAGTGGACTCTGTGGCAATGCCTTCCAGCCACTAGCAGCTAGCAATTGCATGCCTTGCTATCAGAATTAGGCTCGAGCTTGATCTCGCAAAGAGCACCATGGCTGCTTTGCCTTAGGCAGTGCACGAGAGCAGCGTATTTCATGCGATAAAGCATACGACGTCAATGTACCTGGCCTCGAAATGCATATTGTCACTGGAGTTTTGGGGCTCCGGATTTGCAGTGGAAACTAGGCAGCTCCAAATGCCGCAAGACACCACTGCCGGATTGAAGTAGGCGTCAGGCATGGTCTTTTTGTTCCAGATCGACAGCGCAGGGTTGTCAGTGCTGATGGTTTGAACCCACCTGTGAAAGGTGTAGTCCCGAGCGTTTGGCCTCGCCAATGGCTGCATTTTATCCCCGACCTCTCGCTCCTGCTGTCCAGGTTGTCATTCTCAGCTTCACCCTCATCAAAGTCGATCTTAGCCTGTGGCACACCGGCATAGTGGCGAGGTGAAACGGGCGAACCATCACGGGAGTATGGGCTACGCATGCTGCCTGGGTGGCAATCGCGACGTGCATCACGAAGGAATCGGAATCCTGGGAGCTGAAACTGCCACTTTGCCCTGGCTTGATCCAGACCCGGACAAAGGCCACCCACTGGCAAAAGCAGATGGCTATCTGAAGGAGCTCAGGGCTCCGCAGAGGGCAGCACCCGTCGTTTTCGCTTATCCCTGGCAGGATCTTCTTCACCGCATGTATCGTGAGGACACACTGTCTAAACCGTCTAGAGTCCAAACCAAAAAATGAGAATGGACATAGACAGGGGGTCTGTGAAGGTAGCCCATGTCCTGCACAGCCCTTGTCGGCTTACCGCAATGACAGGCCAGAGAGCTGCTTCGGGATGTCGTCTATTCGTACTAACTCGCTAGCCGCTAGCAACACGAGTTGACAGTCGAAGAATCACCTGCAAATTCCGAGATTCGGACGTCCACTGCAAACCGTTGCATACCATCTTCCACAACTGGATGCTGAGAAACCTGCACATTTCAAACAAGCTTGCGCAGTGCATCCTGCTAGCTTCGTGCATGCTACCGATGTTGAGCATCAGCTACAACTGGATCCTAGGACCCGGGACTCAGGTTCGTACTCACCGGATTTGGCGCGGACGACAGTATCAAGCTTTTCCATGCGACCTTGTGCGACAGGTTCTTGTTATGAGTATCATGTTCGTTCTGCTGTTGGGATGGATGGAGGTTTGTCAAGGGCGCCATGCAGCCCAACCCTGAGAGACCATTAAGAAAGACTTCACCCTTAAAGATGTTATTCTCAAGCCGGGAAAAGGTCGCCGGAGCACCCACCTGCACCGCAGTCGGAAATCCAGTAGCATTCTGGCTGCAAAACCGCAATGCACTTGCAGGCGTCCAACTAGGCACAAGGTCCACACCCACGACTGCTGGTCGTGGCATGGTCTTGTTCCGGATCTCCATAACAAAGCGTGGAACCTGCGGCGGAACCGACATCAACAGACAGTTTGTCAAGCTGCTTGTTTTGCAGATCTTGTCTAAATTACCACGAATTGTTGCGCAACAGATTCGTGCGACGTCGACGTTTCAGGAACCTTACTTTTTGTATAATTCTCACCAACACTGATTAGAACCGCCCTATCTGGATGAGACTGCAATGGAGTGGATACTCGATATTGGGACTTTGAAGTTAGGATTATAGATAGGGTAGCTAAGCAGCTCTACTTACAAGTGCTTACAACCCCATTCACTGCACTTGCAACCTTAGCTACTAAGTCCCATGATCCTCCAAGCATCCGTGCGCAACCTCATTGTCCCAGGCAGCTGTAAGAGGCTGCCAGTAGAAACTGTCGTAGCAGGAAGAGCAGTGGTCGTGGTAATAAGATGTCGTCGTAGTTGCCGTTGCAGAAGAGGCAGCAGTATTCAGTAGCAGCAACAGTAGCCTCACTGGGGATAGGAGTCGTGGCGGAGAGTGGTAGGGGTAGGAGGAGTCGTCGCAGTGGAGTCGTCGTAGTACTAGTAGTAGCAGTAGTAGTAGCCACAGCAGCAGCAGCAGTAGCAGCAGTAGTAGCAGTAGCGGTTGGGTTGGGGGTAGGGATAGGGGTAGGGGTCGGGGTTGGGGTGGAGGTAGGGTTTTGCTGGAGCTAATGCTAGTGCTAGTAGCGGCAGCAGCAGTCGTAGCAGCAGCAGTAGTAGTAGCCGTCGTCGCCGTGGTGGCGGTAGTAGTCGTCCTCCTCGTCGTCGTCGTGGTAGTAGTAGTAGTAGTAGTAGTAGTAGCAGTATTAGCAAGGCAGTGGTGGCAGCAGCAGCAGCGTTGATTTCTGAAGCTCGCGGTGCATACTCCTTTCCGCAAGCTCGACTGATGCTTGCGCACCCTTCCGATCGCTCTTGCCATGCAGCCCTTCATGCTGCTTTAGATGCGTTTGGGTGTGGGTTCGGTGGGCTCTGCGAACGTCCATTGTGTAAGCGTGAGCGGATTTGGGTTCAATCTCGCCTTGCCCTTCTGTCGGTCATGAGGTGCTGGGTTTGGATAACCATCACAAGGGAAGCCAGCTTAGAGAGAGCTTGAAGGTTGATGACAGACATGCTGAGGCAGCAGCATAGGGGCTGTAGGAGACACCTGACACATCCAGAATATCCACAATCTATGGATCATCAAAGGCTGGCGTTGCTACAAACATGATGAAATAGTGATATGCCCCACAGGCGGCAACCCTGTCTGAACGACGTAAGCATAAAGATCTCACGAGCAGCAAACCAAACTTTCTCATCGACACACATCATGGCCCTGTGTCCTACAGTTTGTGCTGAGCCAGGCACTTCTGAGGACCGTGTACTGCAACTCAGATCATGCCAAGCTCGCAGTTTTCTCAAGGCTTGCGCATGTTGGGCAGAAGGCAAATCTATCCGGGCATGGATATGATAAGCAAGCAGCCTGTGAAACAGGTGCTGATTCATCCCAGCTGTTGGTCTAGAGTCTAGAGATCAGGAATGTTTTTTGAGGCCTCCTGGACCGAGGCCCTGACGGAGCCTCCGCGATGATCGCCCTCCATGTAGCTGCGGACATTGCAGCCAGCAACCTGGCCGTGCACGTGAGTAGGTGTCCAGCTTACGATCTCTTTTTGGGTCTCCGACGGAGTCCGTCGATCGAAGAAGGGGGCCTAGAAGAGAGAGAACCCCACACAGATCTCGCCTCCGGGCAGCAAAGGAGCTCTAACCAGCCAAGGTACAGCCTCGCAAGAAACGGCTCAATAATAATAATAGTTATAGTTAGAACAACGAAAATAACAATAATCATAGAAACAAACAGTAACAATAATGATAATACTACTGTTATCATACTAAAAATATTAAGCAGCTGCGGCTCGCAGTCGCTGCTACACACGCCCTTTTCACCTGCCAGCAGCCATGCTGGGTCAAGGCCTGAAAGGCCGCGGTCAGAAAAGCAAAGCCTCCACACACGACCAAGTCCCTACGCTGACAATGCTTGGTTTCTCAGGGACATTCAGGGACTATACTTTCTTTCGGGGACTTGAAGAGCGTGATCAGGATGGCAGCTGTGCGGTCTAAGGGTGCTTGGTAGCGACCGTAAACTTTCTCTGGTTCAAAAATCCTCCAGGAACCCTTGCATCGCATATGCTCGCCATCCATCTCCTTCGTGCCGCAGTCGACGCACATGTTCTCGGTCGCCGTCCATTTGAGCTGAGCGGTCTCATGTGAAAGCATTCCCCGAAGCCAGGCAATCGTGAATGCCAAGGACTTCCGGCTGCCGTAAGAGGGTGTGTCGGAGTTCCCCGTGTCGAAGACATCCTTGGCGTCCGTGACCACCACCATGTCGATGGTGTCAAGGATGCAATCCACGTTTTTGTGACCTAAGTCAAAGCCTCGAGTCTTCGCCAAGTGTCCCCGGCAGTACTGTCCCACGTCCATTGCCTCCTCCACTCCCAGACGCTTTGCTCCAAAAGTGGACAGGCAAACTCTTTGTAGGCAGTACACTACACAGAAACGACCCTTGCCTCCTTTCAGTAGAGAAGACTTTGCCAGTAGCACGCAATAGGATTGGCTGCACGCTCCAGGGGTTGTTCGCCAAAAGCGCCGGCTTTGGTCGCGCTGCCCAGGGGGGCGCCGCTAACCACGAAGATCCCGGCCTGCTCCAGCTTCAGAGGTCGGAACCGAAGGCAGACGTCGCTATTCTCCTTGAAGGGCTTCACCAGGAGGTTCACCTTGAGCAAGGTCTGTGCGGCGAGGCCCTCGGCTTGCAAAGTAGACAGGCTGAAGCCCACTTCAAACCTGCACTGTGCAACCAACCATTGCAGCGAACCCACCAAGGCACGAAGTTGCTTGTGTTCTCCCTGGAGAAAGAGCTGAGTCCAGGTCTCTGTGGCGTGCCGCGGCCACCCGAATGGGCGCCAAGTTCTCGTGGTACTCCTTCATGACCTCATGGAGACGGTAACCTCTCCGCTCTCGGGGTCTTGCTTCACCGTCTTGCCACCGTAGACGAAGGAGTCGCGCTCAACAGACCCAAAGCCAACTCTCGGCCCAGTTCGTCGATTGACTCCCAAGCAGCCGTGTTGCCACTGAACAAGAGGTCGCCCACGTAGCTGCAGAGTATGGGCTTACAACATGGACGTCGGGGACTGCTCCTCCATGCCCTTGACGGTGTCCTTCAGGGATCCGCCTTCAGACGGGGATCGGTATTCAAAAACCGTGGTCAGGGCCGAGCTCGACGTCACGAAGGTCCGGCCACCGAACAGAAAGGTTGTAACCCCCGGCTCGTCCAGCAGCTCCTGGCCCTCGATCGTGGTGGCCGCGCCGATGCCCGAGGCGAGCTCGATCAAAAAATGCCGCCCCGACCGACGCTGAGCGAGTGCACGTCCGTCCATAGGCATGCACGGCGGTATCCCCATCTTTCTTTGCAGCGTCGCGGCGGGCTTGCTGCTTTTCATGAAGTGAGTCAGCCTCGAGGTGGCCGGCAGACGTAGCAGCAGCAAGTAGGGCTTGCCCTCGCCGACGTCAAAGCGCACTGCATGCCCCATGTCTGAAGACATCCGGTCCAGGTCGCCACAGAGGCTGGCCTTATACTTGGTGGGCCAATGTCCTTAAGGCCCCCGGCTCGGAAAGCGCGAGGTCATAGTCCTGCTCGTTGATCACCTCAAGCCCCGTCTGGGCCGTCACCTGCAGCAACTCTCGGCCCCGACGATGCTTCTTGTATGCAGCAGCTATTAATTGCAAACTGCTGCCCGGCCTTGAGCTGTTGCCGTAGGGGGGCAATCACAGCTCGGTGTCGTAGTTGAGTGGCATGTCCGGAGAGAGGCTTCCTCTTTGTACTTCGCCATGATCTGCCCTTGGATGGCTGCCCTTGCCCCTTTTGCGGTTTCATAGCCAGCATCCCGTCCCGCATCGGGTCCTCCAGGAACGACAAGCGAATTCCCAGCCGGTCTCGGGCAAGCTCCCCTTCAGGATAGCTTGCCGATAGTGCTGGCGAGGAAGGCTCCAACGGCTTCGAGCCATGGTTCGGAGGCACATCCTTCCGAACCGGTCGGCCATTCTTTGGCCTCGGGCTCCTGCGGCCTCCATCTTCAGCAGGTGGTCGGGGTTTTGCAATGTCCGCTCCGCAGCCACTCTTCATGCTTGAGAGGGGTGCCGGCAGTGGTGGTTTCAAGTTTTCGGAAGGGAGGGGTTCATGCACACGGGCATCAGAAGGTGTTGGCTTCAAAGCTGCAGCTCGACGTCTCAACCTCTCACTGTTACGAACAGGCACTTCAAGAACTCCATCCATCCTTTGCCTTGTCCACGAAGTCGCGGTAGCATCCAGCAGGCCTTTGGGGAAGATGTTCAGGAAGAAGGTGGCCTGCCGCAAGCTGCTTAAGAGGGATGCGTTTGCCATCCAGGTGATCTGCTCTAAGGGCTTTCCGAGTAAAGCTGATCACACCACCGATGGCCTCCAGGAAGTCGCGTCCCAGCAGTAGGCCCAAGGCTTCGACCTCGACAACACTCGTCCAAACAAACACAAGGGTCCCACCAACCATCACAGGTAATTTCTCTCTGAAAGCTGATTTTGGTGCCGTCGTTCCCGAACTTAAAGGTCTCCCTCTCAGCCTCCGACTTGAGGTAGGGTGCCACGGCCTGCCAGCACGGGTCATCTCTCAATGCTTCCATGTAGTGCTCGAACCAAGGCTTACCACAAACCGTGCGATTGCAGGCCGAGTCCAGAGCGCCGACCAACTTTTTGTCACCCGCCAACATGTGCCTTACAAAGGTCTCGTGGGGTTGCGCTCCTAGCTCAAAGGCCTCCTCCAAGGTGGTCGCCACGGCCACCTCATGCACTTTCGCCGGAGGCTATTCTTCGGTCTCTGCAGCAAACGCCTCAGTCAGCTGCACCCTGCGCACTGGATTGCCGGAGGCTCCACTGCCTCGGCTGCCGCCTTTGCGCCCCAAACTTAGTGCATGCCTGGTCCCCCGCCCAATGTCCAAGAAGACCGCAATCGATGCAGGTGCCCTTCTTGCGCACGATCGCCCAGCCGAAGACGCCGGCGATGCTTTGCCGAAGCCGCGGTCCCGGCGAATCTCTTGGAGCTTGCTTCTGGCTTCTCTCATAGACAGCAGTGCCTCTGCCGCGTGTTCAAAGGAATCCTCTACACTGCCGAGGGTGCCTGCATCCAGTCCGTCTTCTTCTGCTTCAAGCTCGGCAGCCAAAGCCTGGGCCTCGGCTTCCACAACTTCATCTAAGTTCGGGCTGGCATCGCCATCGTCAGCCCTCCTCATCCGGCTCATCCTCATATCTCTCTGCATCACCCTCGCCCTCAGCAGCGAACACCTGCCTCTGCCTCGGCCGAGCCGGGAAGAAGCGGCGCGGCTGCGCCACATGTCCACGACCGCCGCCCTTGAAGGAAGAGCCAGTCGAACTTGACCCTCGCGACAGGAAAGAGGAAGGCGCCGAGGAGCGGTAGGACGACGAAGCCGAAGAGGTCGTACTCGGAAACGGCGCGCCCCGGCCTCGTCCTTTGGGCATCTGGGCGCCCAAGCCTTCGGAGGAGCGGGTCTGAGACATGAAGGTCTTTAAGGAGGTGTAGGGTTTCTGCTTCCACTTCCTCGAAGGACTCCTTGCCAGCCAAAGCTGTCTCCAACAATTGCTTCGAATGGGGTCTAGGTCTAGCCCTAACTTTTCTCTCACAAGCCAGCCTAGCTCGCTGGATGGAAGTTCCACTCCCTCAATCTTCAGCTCGGCTACAAGCATCCTGAAGCGGCTCAAGAACTCACTGGGCCGCTCGCCAGGCTTCCTTGGGGGTCGGTGTAGAGTTGCGAGCGAAGTTCTGTTTGCTTGTCGAGCTTGGTCTTGCCGTTTATCTCCTCGAGCGCCTTCATGAGTTTCTTGATTCCAGCAAAGACATCCTCAGCCTTCCTTCCCCACGTAGGTGTTGCCATCGAAGTCCTTGCCAAGCACCTCAGGTTGGTACGCCAGGTCACTGCGGGAGAACTCTTCTCCTCGTTGGCGCACTACTCCAGACTGCCGAAGCAACCACCGAGCTGTCAAGTTGTACTTTTTCGTCGAATCTGGGTCCAACCCGGCCAACCACCATTGCATCTCCTAGTCAAAGGCTCTATCAAAGGTGACCCGTCCCACGTTGGCACCTTGTGCCAAGCCGAACTTCCCTTCTCTTCATCGCCCATCTTGCTGCCGGAAGTGGAGGTGGGTGCGGCAAAATGTTGTTCTGCACCCAAAACAAAGTAGCACTCGTATCCAGAAAAAGAGCCTAAGCCCACGAAGAAAGTTACCACCAAAAGTTCCCAGGCCAAAGAAGCCAGCAGCAGCCGGACAATCCATAAAACAAGCACCGAAGGGCCTATGCAAAGATCGGCGCCTCAGAGTTGTCAGCGAAGCTGTTGGCAAAGCGGGCCTCCTAGTCGAGGCCAAAAGTAACGACCCAGTCTCACCCAAGGGCCGCTGCAAGCGGGAGGTGATCCTCGGTACCCAGCTGCCTGTAGATGGAATCCTACAGAAGCCTGCCAAAGTGAAGAACAAAAGAGAGCGGACGCAGGGCAGCGCAATGTCAAAGCAAAGGTCCCGCCGTGGTTCAGGCTCCGGTGCCACTAAGCAGCTATGGCTCGCAGTAGCTGCTACAGACGCCCTTTTCACCTGCCAGCAGCCATGCTGGGTCAAGGCCTGAAAGGCCGCGGTCAGAAAAGAAAAGCCTCCACACACGATCAAGTCCCGACGCTGACGCTGCTTGGTTTCTCAACTAGCAATCATAACAGCAAAAATACAGATGATAGTAATCACAAGACAATAACAATAACAATAATAATAATAAAAGTAATAATAACAACAACAGCAGACTGCATCGGCACCCCTTCCAATCATCGTGACAGTCTGGGGTTTTGGTGTCTTCATTCTCGAACTGTCCGAAACATGCTCAGAAGCAGGATCTGGAATAAGTACCAACAGTCCAACACCACTTTCCATGCACTGAGGGTAGGTTCATGTTAGAAGATCCCCCTCAGGTGTGCTCCACCCGTCTGTTGATCTGTGGCGATTCCTCAGGTCGAGGCCTCTCGCTGAAGTAGAGATGACGGCCGGAGTCTGGTAGTGGCCGCCCATACATGAAAGAGGTGACCGCCTCGAGATTGCAAGGACGCGAAAAAACCCGACTTCGGTAATAAAGCTTGTGAGAAAGTGGTCCCGGTGCTACGAGGACACAAAGTGTAATATCAAATCGCACAAGCATGAGTAAGCCGCCATCTGGTACACTCACAAGAGTCAGACACTTGCATCTTGTGGCAAGTTACCGTAAGGCTGGGCAATCAGCTACTCCACAATCGGTGACCGAGGCTTGGCCTGTGGCGGCCTTGGCATTTAAGCTACACTTCACAAATCCAAGTCCGCGGCTCCCATGGTTCAAAAAGAAAGGCCGACGTGGAGGTCGTGAAGCTGTTTTTTGTCCGCTAGATTTGGGAGTGCATGTAAGTGAAATTGCGATGGGATACATGCAGCTTACACATTGGTGGAACAAAATGGTGCGAGCATGCCTGTGGAGCATTGTCAATGTACCAGTTGCATTCCATTGGTACTAGCGCTCTAGCGGTCGGGCAGAGTTTGGGCGCTTGGCTCTTTGTCACAGGGGGTCCGGCTCAGCCTTGAGCATGGGAGCCATCGGAGCCAACCCCAAGCTGTATACGGCATTTTCCCTCTCCCAGGCACAACAACTAATTAGCAATTCAATAGCGCCCTATGGCCGCTGAATCGTTTACCCCAGGAGCAGACTACCTGCCGCAGGTGGTGGCCTTCTTAATTTTTGTGGCCGCACGAAGCATGTGCTGGGAAAACGCTGGTCTCGCTCTCTGCACTGTGTCACGAAGCTTGCAGGGGCGGAACGCTATCCCTGTGCCCTATGCATCAACAGATGGAAGCATGTTGAAGTTCCAACTGAAGACGTTCGAACTCGCCCTTCACTTTCCCATCTTCGAGTTCGTCTTATGGCGAAATGTCCGAAGGCAGTTCTGCAAGTTCTCCATCGAGGGACTCCGCTACCGAGCCTGTGCCATCTTCAAGTGCCTCAGCTCAAGCTCCAAAAAAAGACTGCTGTCGCCACTCCGCGGCCAACATGATCACTCGATGTTTGAAAGGCACTCTGCTCTTTGCCACTGGGCGTCGCGTGTCAGTGCCGCCACGAAGGCCTCCGGATCCTCGAATCACTGATCTTGAAGGTGAGCAAACCGCGAGATCTGTCTGCGAAACACGGGTTAACAAACAGTATGGAGGAGCGGCCTCCACGTTGAGTATCCTACGAGTTCGGAGCTCACTGCCCGAAGTCAAGCGAAGCTCGCGCAAGAGAAAACGAACAACCGAGCAATCCCGCGCAATCAACTTGCATTGTTTTGCTGTATTATATACTATATATTGTATATAGCAGAATATAAATAACAGATTAGTTAGTCATACATATGTATGTATATATATACACATA